ATTTATCTGAAAAGTTATTGAGGTTCTAAAAGAATAATGCAAAGTTAATGGTTGGGTTCATACTGATGGTAACAGTAAACACAAACATGATCTTTTGCATACCAAATTGCTAAAAGAATTCTGGTATTATCTGTGAATTACTTTTTATATTTTCAACCTCCATTCCAAGTGTTTATTTCCGAGGTTTACATTTCTTTTGCATGCAATGAACATGGCTTTCTAGAAGTATTACAGTTGATTTCACTGGAAAAGTGAATTAATGTATATTTGAGCAAAACAATTTGAGCAATTCCAAAATATGTGTAACTCATATGACGTTATGGGTGTTACAGGGGTAATATACGTATATATATATATATATATATATACACACTTGCCCAAAAATATTTAATTTATTTGTACTTACTTGCATCTTTATACTCAGAATGAAACTGTTTCAAAAAAACAATTTTGAACAAAAAAAAAATGTAAAGACATGTTGTATGTATTTCTGCTCATACCATGAGCATATTTTTGTATATTTTCTAATAATAAGATTGTATTTATTTTTGAAAAATGGATTGTATGTAAGGAAGTATGCTTATATACATACATACACACACACACACACACACACACATATATATATATATATATATATATATATATATTGTGAAGTTCATACAAAAGAAAATCTGTTTATTGAGGGAAATTTATCATGATAAATATAGATTTTTACACAATTTTAAAATTATGTGTTCTGAAATAAAAAAAAGAAATTTTGTAAATAAATCACTTATTAGATATTTACTTGCTTCTTTTAGTTGTAAGGTTGATCTATTCGCTTCTTTTAGTTGCACAACTTCTTGGCATAGACTTTGAACTTTTTCCATATACATAGAAATAGTGCTTCTATGGTTGGCATTGGTGATGCATGAAATTTCTACCTTAAGAATGTTGACAAGTTCATGAAGGTCTATAATACTTACAAATCTATTATCACTTTTGCTAAGTATAACATTCATGATTTTTCTTTCTATTTTAAATAACTTAATGAATTTACAAATCAAATAGAGGAAGATAAACTATAACCTCTAATATCAAATAAAAATTTCCACAAAGAAAGGTGATCCACTTTCTTTGAAGAAAAAATCCAAATTTAGAAAACAAAGAATGTTAATTCAAATGTGGGTGGTCTGTAAGCTTTGGAACTTAATAATAAAAGTAGAATAATCCACTCACTTCTAAAAACAAGAAATGAACAATGAGTTAGCACTCTTGTCAATTTATCAAGGATATGAACTCAAAGAAGATATGTAAATGGATGCAAAATAAATCAAAGAGAGATAAAAAAATAGAAATAAGAAAGTTAATATATTTAATGAAAAATTAAAATGGCTATTGCCAAAGACTAAAAAGTTAGAGACTCTTGAAACTAGATTGGAAGCAAGAAAATAATTAACAAGAATAAAGAAGGCTTCAATCTTGCTTTTATATATACTATCTATTTAAGAGCAATGTGGTATCATTCTATAGGACCTCCAACATGTGTCTAATTTGCAAGACACATGTTTAACTTACAAAACAAGTTTTTTATATGCGTGCCATGTAATTAACTTGTTCTACAAGCTATTAACATGTACAACATGTGGCTAACTTTTTAGCCAAGTTTCTAACCTATCAATCACTTATAGATATATATATAAAGGTAAAAACATATCTATGAAGCTTTTAGGAAGCTATTCTTCAAGATATTATGAAATTTATTTATTTTTAATTATTTCTAACTATTCATATTACCTAGATAACTATTAAAGTAAATGTGTTTGTGACACAAACTCTCCAATTGAAAGCAAAGCTCCCAAAACCTCTTGGATATAAATTGCCCTTCTTGTCCAACTTGAATGTTGATCTTCTAACAATAATTTCTCTTTACTAAACTATTAAATTTCTTTAAAATTTGATTGGTATATAGATTTCTAAATCTAAATGACGCTCACCATTTTTTGCTTCAATCAATTTGGCAAATGTTTTAAGATCATAAAAATCCTTATTGATCCTAAATTTCAATTATTTAAGACCATAACCTTTATAAAATCTGACAACCTTCAATTTAATTACTTGATTGATATCAAATTTTTTAAATATATTCAAAACAAGCACTATAATAAATTTAAATTTTTTTAGCTATAAATATCCTATGACACTCATATAATCTTTAAATTTGTGATCTTTTTATTTCTCAAAATCCAAACTCACTAAATACATTTCTTACTTTGAAGAGCCTTCAAAACCTCAATATGCCTTCAAATCTTATCAAATAAATTCTTAAAATTCCTCTCATAAGTCTATTTTTTAAATTCTTTTTTTAATCAACCAAAAAACTCTAGAGTTATTATAAGTACACAATTTTGTGCTTCAAGTCTGATTCCAACTTTGATTTATAACTAATCATCTTTGGATATCAATTCTTAGTATTTTTAGATAACTTTTGATAAAATTTATTTTTAATTTTCTTCTAAAGATGCCTTTATTAATTATTTATCTCATCTACTTTTATTTGGCTCATTTATATTCCTAAAAATTAAATAAAAGTCTCCTCTACAAGAAGGTAGTATTAGTATTTATCAATTTTTATTACCTCCCTATCTATTATTTATATTTCTAAGATAATTTGCTAAGTTTTTTTTCATTTAAATTCATCTATAATACAATATTTTTTTTGTCTTCTTTCACCTAATGGCCATATTAATACATGACACTAGGATATTTATTATTTTATATGACTTAAAAAGAGATATCTAAAATATAGAATGGATCTTCATAATTCCTGTAGGTGTAATCAAAATGTAAATAGATTATCTGTTCATAAATAAGAAATAATTTAAGTCTATGATAATCCAATTTATTACAAAAATGATTAATTTTGATATTACAATAAAGTTATCATATCTTATTGTCAATGTAAAATTAAGATTATATTTTTCAATAGGCATCAGCATTGATCTTTTATCATTTTTGAGTCACTTTGAATTGTGCCTTCATTATTGCATGTAGATTTGCCAAATCTTTTATCTCAAGATTATCAACTTTTGAAAAGTCTTATATATCAAGTTATGGCTGATAATCATAATTAACTTAGAAAGGTATTTATTGAATAGAAGAATATATCATGTTATTATAAAAAAAATTCTATCAATTGCAAAACAAATTTTCAATCATCTTGATGATAATTAATGGTATATCACAAATATTGCTCCAATACTTGATTCACTTATTTTTTTTTATCTATTAGTTTGAAGATGCAAAGTTGTAGATAATTTTATGTCTACCTTCAATATCCTAAAAAGTATTTTAAATACAAATAGATACAAATTGAATCCCTTCATTAGATATAATATCCCTTGATAATTTATGGTAGCAATAGATATTATCAAGAAAAAATATAGTTGATTCTTTACTTGTGATAGATTTTGAATATGATACAAAACATACCATCTTAGTGAAACAATATACTATCACAAATATAAAGTCATATAGACTCAAGGATGGAAGACCTATGAAAAAATCTATAGAAATAAAAAACCATGGTTATTTAGATATAGATAGTGGTTGTAGAAATTTTTAAAGTTGATAACAAATTTTTTAATCTTAAATAAGTATCACATGATTGTACAAAGCTTTTGTAGTCAACAAAAATTTCTTGAGATTAATTCTATAATCTTATTATATTTAAATGTTTTACAGGTAGAAAGTTGTGACAAACTTGAAATACTTGTAATTATGTTTCACCTTAATATTATATAAGCATTTATCAAAATACAATAAATTGTTTTGAAGTTCAAATTTAACATCATTATAAAATTTAGAAGAATTATTCTTAATATCACCAATAAAAAAAATTAAAAAATATACTTAATTATTCAAAGATTTACTCATTCTTACTAACAAAGAAACTTTGATCATGAGTGATAATCAAACATGTATTAAATTGGTTGCAAATTCCATATTATATCTAAGAACTAAACATATTAAAAAGTATTTCTACTTTATTGAAAAAAAAGCTTGATTTTGTGAGGACCAAGTATCATACATTTCAATTGAAGAATAATTGGATGACATACTTACTAAGTTTGTTAATAAGTTATAACATTGTAAATTTAAAAAAAGATATAAAGTTAAAACCATTGCCTTCAATATTAGTTATATGTTGAATTTTTGATCTATACCTCTATACATTACTCACATGGTAAGTTCATTAATCATATTTTAATTACATATTATCATTAATTGTACATAATCATCTCTACATCAATAAGTAAGTATTTAGGTTTAATATCTTTGGCAATGATTATAGGTTGATAACCATCAGAATCAACTTTTACAAATAATAGTATATGCTAGTGATTAAAAGACTTTATTTCATGTTTCGAACTTCTATTCAAATTCTGTAGCCTCAAAAGAAAAAAAGATTTATTTACAACTAACAATCTATTTACAATTTCTCTTCTTAAAAATTTAATGTCAAATAGTAATTAATGAATTAATACATTAGATGATCCAAAGACAAGGGAACTTACATTGTTTAGAGGAAGTTCTTCAAACTAGACATCTTTTATCAACATGTCCAATTTGAAAACCGCATCAAGCCTCATATTGTTTTCTATAGCTCCCTCTTCAAACTGTAAAAGAGATTCATAAAAAAGATGAAAGATATAAGAGATTATTGCATCACATCCTCTTCTCAAGGCTGTGACCAAAAACCAAATACCTAAGAAGATCAACTCCCATTAAAATAGTATGAGTAATCAAAAATATTAGAAAGGAAACAACAATAGAGGCGACAGATAAAGAATTAAAACAGAAGTAGCTTACCGAGGAGAGAAGGTTGACCCCATCCTGAAGCGCCAAAACATTGAACCTCATCATCGCAGCAGGAGCGCACACGTGAAAAATGAAAAATGAATGAAATCAGAGGCAAGAGAGAGTGTTAGCAAAAACGTGCACCTAGGATTTCCTTCTTCATACATGAATAAGACCATGCGATACCTTGGTTGTACATAGATGAAGATGAAGTTTCATCAAAGACAAGATATAAATTAATTAGGAGCTAGAGTTTTTTGTGTAGTTTGAACAGAATGTTTTTAGAAAAACAGATTGAGCAACACTAGTTCACAATGTATAAATTGAATTATGCCATACTAATAAAGTTGCTCCCGATTATTGTGTTCATAGAAAATCTTACTGCCATTTCTCAGTTGCACAGAGGATCTAATATCTTCATCGTCCTGCCAGTTATAAAATTATATTCTCTGTTCATGCCTATTTGTCACAAGAGGCCAGCTCAGGCACTGGTCGTACTGGACCCGGGGTTTACCGACTCTGAATGACGACGCCAAAGAAGCCAGGCTGGAAGGAAGTTGGAAAGTCTCTAGTTATACAAGTTTGAAGGACAATTTAGAGATTCATGTCCAGGTTTTCTAACAACATCGATAGGATACGAGATTATCAAGATGCAGTAAATTGTTCAGCTCAGCCTTGCTATTGGCCGGTCTGAGACTCTGATGATTGTGATGAAAACTTCGACAGTGCATGCGATGCACCGGCTCTCTGTCTCGGATGTTGTTAATCAGTTTGAAGGTCATACTTTGACGCCAAGCTTATGACCAACGTCGTTCCGAATTCTGTGACTGCAGTTTGGTAGCAATCATGCATTAGCAATGAGATTGCAATCAAGATGCGTGATATGGAATACGAAAATGTAGAAACAAGGTAACCTAGAGGGACTCTGGCTACTCCTGCACTCATCAGTCAGATCTAGCTAACTGTTGCATCCAAATGAAATCAGTAATTACCTGACAGCACCTCCGTAAAGCCACCCCGACACAGAACCATCCTGCAAATTTGCTATCTCCCAGCTGGGCATAGCCTTGAACAACTCGTTCTTATTGGCAGTGACTTCGTCCACTGTTGCTAGACGATAAACAGGGTACTCGATTGGGTCATTGATGCCCAGAAGCTTGAAGGTCAAGTGTTCTGGAGTTTTGACGGCGAGCTTCTGACTCACATCGCTACGAATTCGCGGGCTGCAATTTTGCAACAAGATGATCAGAATTTGAATGACCACGTTTTGTGAAATTGTGCGAGTGGAACCAATACTAGAGAGTGTTAATATTAAAATAATTGTTAATTTAGTAAATAATTGAAGCGCTAGGAAACAGCGCTTTCGTACCTAACATTGCCTCCGTACAGCGCACCGTCCACGGAGCCGTCCGCCAGATTGGCGATCTCCCATTTCGGCATGGTCACGAGCAGGGCATCGCGATGGTCCTTCACATCCTGCATGGTTGCCAGGCGGTACTTGCCATCGTCCATCGGCTCGTGCAGACCGAGCAATTGAAATGTAAAGATGCCCACTTCTCCATCAACCACCATCCCTTCCCGCTCGTCATACTGGTCGTAGTCGTCGCCTAATTGAATGAGGGAGTCCTTCAAAGTCCCTTGCCGAACATCTCCAGTGTGTGACACCAATGTTCGGGGGTTGTCCAGCTTTTCGATTACCTTGGGAAGGTCCAGATTGTCTTTGATGTTCTTCACTGCGTCGTGCAACAGGCGGTAGTACACTATCACGTCATATATCGTGGCAATTCTGGCATCGTAGATTTTCTTCGTCTGGTCAAACTCCTTCTTGGACTCTTCCAGAGCGTGAATCTTGCGCTGCAACACATTTGTCTCTCCCGTCAGCTCATCGCGAAGGGACCTATGCAGTCTCAAACGCTCCTCCGTTGACTGCAATTCACGGGACGCCTGTTTTAGCCTCTCCTCTAGAGTAGCTCTTTTTTGGGTGCAAAGATCGTTGAGGGCCTGACCCATCAGATAGTAGTTGTATCCGGGTACCCAAAACCACTTCTTCAAATCTTCAATGTGGTCTTGCAACTCCGAAATCTTCTGGTTGTTCTCATTGATTGCTTCTTGCACCTCCTGGACTTTGCGTAAGTCGAGTTCCTCAGTGTCTCTCTCTCCCTCGAGTTGCGAATTCACGTCCGAAAGGTGTTTCTGCACTACTCTCATCGCGCTGTTGCAGTCGCCGATGGCAAGGATAGCCTTGGTGACCACGTCGTTGTACTTGGCCGATCTGGACTTGAGCGACTCCACCATCCCTTCCGCAATCTTGATGAGCACGTCCAGGTCGGGCTCAAGATATTGCAGGCTATCTGGGTCGAACAAGTGTTTGTCTCTTTTATACGCAGCGAGGCCTTGCTCGAGTGCCGCCACCACCTTCAAGGCAAGGCCTTTCCCGCTTCCAGCAGACTGGAGCCTCATCGCCCTGTCGTGCTGACTGAACGCAAGCGCCATTGTCCCAACCTCTGGAATGAGTTGCACACAACCTGGATTCAGGTGGACGACGGAGAGAAATTCGGATTGGAAATTATCTTCGCAAACACGCCAACCAAAGGATGGACTTCAAAGGCAACTAGTCGAAAGGAATCTCAGTCAAACTTCAACTTGTGAACCAGCTCCACATCCAACAGCTCGATCGTTCCCGACTGACCAAGAGCTATGCAACAGTGCAACCTGATGCAATTTGAAGCCTCGAATGGAGTCTTCCGTTCTGAGCTCGGCCAGTCCGTTTCATGGAATTGATCGATATGTAGCAGTGTAGATCACAATATATTGAGGAAGGTGGTGTGAGATTGAGAAGGGATGGGAATGAGGGCGAATCGCAAGTGAAAATGAACTTACGGATCTCGCGATATAGTGTCCAATTGGTAGGTACTGCACATACTATAGAGGCTATTTTGAGCATGATTGAACTGTTTCTTGGAGCGCAAGACCTGAAAACTCTGCATAATGTTGCACCATAAGTGTTGTCCCCTTGTCAGACTTTAGTCAGACTGTTTCAAAGTGGCCCTGTTCCTTAGCATGCCCCTCTTGATTTCGGGCCGGCAGGACTAAGAAAAGTCTGGGTTGTGAAAAAACGTAATTCTCGTGGGCTTGCTCCTTTGCATGCCCCTCTATGTTTAGGTTTTGCAAGACTACGGATATTCTGGGTTGTGAAAAACGTGATTCTCGTGGGCCATGTGTGAGTCACTTTGCTTATCTCGACACTGATGTTTGCGTGGCATGTGGCAAGGCTTGGAGTTTCAGAACAAACTTTAATGTTTGAGTTGCTTATTCAACATTTTAGAATCTCTCGATTCTGCATATGTCACGTACAGGCAGCAGCCACCGCATTAGCTAGAACATGCAGCAGGTGAAGCATATCCAGTACGACTTTGCAATGGTGCAGTTCATGGTTATAAGGTGTGTAATTTCGACCTCCCCTGCAAGATTTTCCCCATCCGTATCTCTTCCTGCTCTCTCATCAGCTCTTTAGTCTCAAATACCTCATTCCTTAGCTCTGGAATTGGACTCAGATTGAGGCTTCACAGCTGGTTCTTGGAGCTTGGAATCTGCCTGAGGACGTTTGTTTGATTTCAGTTTCTCCTTGCACAACTCAACATGGCGTTGGTCAAAGCGAAAGTCACGGAAGAAGTGAATGGCAATGGAGAGTTGGTCGTGCACTCTCCGGATGGACGTGACGAGGTGTATGCAATCATCACGATCCCAGAGGCAACAATGTACTTGGTAGAAAATGCGAAGGGGGAGATCCTGATGGACCTTGGCTTGCAGAGCGTGCTCACCGACCTGAACCGTGCATCGGATCTCTTGTTCTTGGCTTACTTGGGTGTAGTCGGGACGGGCGACTTGCATGCCAGGATCTCGAATCGTCAGAAGGAGTTGGCTGAATTGTGTGGAGATTGTGAGGTGACCATGACCACTCTTGTAACCGGAAGCAGGGATGTGCTGGATAGACTGACGGAAGCATATAGGTACCTGTTGGTTGCGAAAGAGGATCGAGCACTGCGCATCCTCTCCAGATGCGCGGCGAATGCAAAGGAAATGGCGAGCAAGTGTGAGGAGTTGGCGCGTGGTTTCGGGAAGTTGAAGGAAGATACCAAGGAGGACGCAGAAACTGCCACAAAAGCCTGGGGCGCGCAAGTCGTCAAGATCAAGGAGTTGAAACAACTTCGTGACGAGATGGAGGCCACGAAGGCGGAACAAGATAAGTTGACAGAAGAATACAACAACTCTCTTGAAGAAATGAAGAGTGAGATTGCCAAAGCGGAGGCCAAAGAGGATTTGGCCAATCAACGAGCATTTATTAGTGAGATAGTGGGTGTCATTGCAAAAACTGTAGGAGCGGGACTTGGTGCTTATGTGTCGATGAAGCAGCCGTTCAGTGTGCCCCCCAAGAACGACGAAGCCTCAGATCACGGTGAAAAGCCCAATGCTTCTGAGAAGAAAAAATTAGAGGAACAGGAAGCCGCCAAAAAGAAGGAGTTGGAGGATGCTAAATCAGCGCAGGAAGAAGCTACTTCGAAGGAAAGTGAGCTGCGGGACAAAGTTTTTGCCGCCGGAGCTGACAAAAAATCGAAAGAAGAACAGCTCAAATCGGCAGAGACCGGAGACAAGACTGATGCAGGATACGACGAGAAGGTCAAGAAGGCTAAAGCTGAATTGGAGACGAGTGCCGCTGCTTTGAGCAAGTTGGAGGAGGAACAGAAGAAGGCGCAGGAGGCTGCAAAGAAGGCCAAGAAGAAGGTCACTGATGCTACCGCGGCCTTGAATGCAGCGGCTGCCGCCTTGACTGAGTTAGCGAACAGCGCCAGCCAGGCGTCGCAACAACAGGCCGAACGAGCGGCGGCATTAGCCAAGAGTCGCATGAACTTAATTCAGCAGAAGATAGACTTGGAGAAGCTCCGCCGTACCTCCGTCTCACAAGTTGCGAAACTCACTGCGCGTTTGAAGTCCACCGAAGAGGAGACACAGGTGGAGGAGTCGGCCCAGACCGCACTGGAGATCGCGACATGGGCGCTCGACAACATCTACGCATCGCTCCTCAATGCCAAGTTCTTCTGGGACAACATGAGGACGTTTTGCGAGAAACTGGCGAAACCCAAAGTGCTGGAACAAATCAAAGACGAGACTGACTTCAACGGCGACGACCCGGAGGAACGGATCAGGGCCTACAAGAGCAAAAGTTTTGTGACAGTGGCTGTTGGCTACCTCGCGCGGTGGGTCGCTCTGGCGAGCGTGTGCGAAGACTATGTCGCGGCCTCCGCGGTGGCACGCAAGTCTGTATTAGGCCACATCAGACAGTCGCCTAATGCGGACGAGGCCCAAAAGCTCATTGGCCCACTCAAGAATCAGCTGAACGACGAGCTTCAAAGCGATGCAGCCGCCGCCAACACAAATATCCGCAACCTCCAACAGAATCTAGAGAACGGGAAAAAGCAGATGGCTGATGCCAAGCCCCAAATCAAGGAAATCGAATAATCGCTCTTTATGGACGACACGTGAACTCAGTCACTTGCCATTCACGGACATGATTACGACGCAAGTTGTTCAGCACAGGATTTCTTGACTGCTCATGTTATTAGCGGTTTTATATGTAAATGTTTACATTTTGTCAATACATATCATGTTATTATTGATGTTCTAAATTTTTTTGATTAATAACAACTAGTTTTTATTTCTTTCATTGTTGGTGTCAATAAGAAAGATTTCTTCTATCAGAAAAACGGAAGTATTCACATTTATATTACTTTTTAGAAATGAAAACATTTCTAAATTATATTTCAGGAATTAAACTTTTTAAGTATACCAAACTCATATACATACCTGTTGATTTTACAACAGGTTTTCAAACCTATATATGAGAATACTGTTAGATGTTTTAGTAACATCACGAATATTTAATTTGGTATATTCAATACATTACATACGTTTATAATTCTCGCAAAGAAATTTCATCATTTCAGTTAGGTCTATTATAATTAAGGGTTTACTTTACCATTTACGTAGGACACCAACCACATAATGTATGATAAATGTTTCCCAATTTTTATGTATCATTGACAATTTCACATGGCATCAGGAAAATAATTTATTCATTGATTTTTTAAAATCTTAAACACTGATGAACTTTGAATTTTTATAATTTTTATTTCTTATCATATGTTTGTTTTTTAATTTTCCGAAATGAATTTATTTACTTAAATTGTTGCAAATCAATGATTTTATTAACTGAATTAACTTACACAGACATAAATGTAAATTTTTGAATCGTTGCCATTTATTATCACAGTAGTATCTGTATTTCATTTAGTCTAGGTTCTTCATTCATCTTAAACTACTGTAGAAGTACAAAGTTATGTGAAACTAAAAAAAAATCAAGAGATGTTCGACATATTCTGCACAGTGTAACATTGCAGGGAAAGATTCGAAACTTTCTGCATTATTCAATAAACCATATTTTTTTCCCATTCGCTGTGAGAAAGTAGATAATTATTGCAAGCTGCCTAGCAGTATCACTCAAAGAAAATTTATAAGGCAACTCTAGAATCTCAATCTATTTCAGAAACACGATTTCTGTTTAAGGAATGCTCTCAGGCAGTTGCATCATTGGTTTGTTTAAATTCTGTGGTGCTTTTCAATATTGGTCACTCGCTTCAAAGCAGTTCACAGCCTCTACTTGCATAGACGGAGTTTGTCACCAAAATAGAAAGTCCAAATTGCATTTGCACACCAAGATATTTGTCTCGTTGTTGACAGTTTTCTACAGAACATAGGATGTTGGAAACAATCACACAAGTAACCAAACATAACTAACAAAGGGACTGAAACGTTGCACCCTGTCGAGGGGGCTCAACCTAATCAGTCGCTCCTCCCTAGACATGGTAAAACCCGTGTACACACATTTTAATCAATAATAAAAATTTACATTTATCTATCAAAAACTCTCACTTCACTTACTTCTAATATGGTATCAGAGTGAAGCTCTAATTTTATGATAAAAAATTAAGAAAATACTAAAACCAAAGTCAAAAAAAGGAGGCTTTGTAGAATAGAAGACATTTTACATAGAAAGTTGGAGTACCAACAAATCTTTATTTTTGTCTTCAAAGAAACATGGCTTCAAATAGCCTTGCTATGGAAAAATGGCCTAAGTTTGATAGCTCGTGATACTGAAAAAGATTCACATGAAGTTTGAAATGGAAAGTTTGGAAGATATAGTTTCAAGAAAAGAAATACAACCAATATCAATTCAAGATGTGAATGCAACATCAACTTCACCACCAAACAAACAAAGTGAAATCTTTACTTGGAAAAGGAAGGATCATGTTGTTTTAGTAGCAATTTGGGATTGTGTAGAAAATTTAATTTTTTCTCATGTTGGAGTATCTAAGACAACCTATGAAACATAGTTGGTCCTTAAAAATACATACTTTGTTAATGACATAGTCACTCAAGCCCACCTACAAGAAAAATTTATCACACAAAAGATGAAACCTAAAATATTGATAATTCAGCATATACACAACTTCACAAATCTACTTTAACAATGCAATTGTATAAGAGTTACCATTTCTCTTCAAATGAAACTCTTCATTCTCATGAGGTCTATGCCATCCCAATATAATATTATAATTCAAACGCTTCACATAATAGGGACTGCAATATTTTCTAAACTTATTTCAATTTTCTTATAAGAAGAACCATCTATGAAAGATTATTCTTCTAATTTACATACTTTTTTTATAGCATACAAATGAAAGACTAAATAGCAACTTTACAAACCTACTTCAAAAGACCATAAGCTTTTAAATCTTTGAAATAAATCTACAATTCCTTGTCTACATTATAAAAAAAATGGAACATTAGGATTTCAATTGTTTTGAAAATAAAAAAAAGAGTTGTTCTAAATTCAGTAGCTACAAATCATGACAACAACAAAAACAAACACTCATGGAAGGAAGAACAAGTAGAAGAATTATCTCCCACTTTCTATGTCCATATTTACATTACATATGCTTTTTACTCAAAGAAAGTGCCTAAGCCTACATCTACCAAAGACATGCAATAATTCATTGATATTGGTGCCACCAACCACTTAGTATATGATAAATGACAATTCATCAATTACAAATCATTTCTAAATAGTAATAATAAAGTCTACCCTAGTAATAATACAATCTTATCTATATATGGCCAAAGAGAAGTACAAATTTCAATGGCCAATAGGAAGATACTTTATCTCTCTAATACTTTCTATATATCAAATTTATACAAAAATCTATTCTGAATATATAACTATGACTTCAAAAGTAGCAATATTTTAATTAAAAATTAGATATGTCATCTTTTAGCAAGAAATAACACCATCCTAGATATTTGCTCTCTTTGTGATAATCTATATCTATTAGGCTCTACAAAACTACAAATCCACCATGTGGCAGCACATATCCTTATTTAGTCAAAAAAATCATCTCTGCCTTGAGTGCCTCTCCAGTCAATCTTACATTTTGTCGTTGCACAAATTCTACCTATTGCTAATGACTTCTCTTCTTAAGATACCACAACTTCTTTTCAATCTTCAATAGTGCTGTGGTCTACTTTATATTAGTTCTGATCTATGAATGCTGATCCCAATGACTTCTCAAAAAGGCCTTTCTCATAGGCACTTCTCATTTTTGATCATATCCACTACTCATTGGCCCCTCTTCTAGTGACACCATTAACTATTGTAAAGACATCTATTATATCTTCTACTAAAAAAAGTGAATATTTACATGTATTCAAATTTTTTCACATATAGGCTAAAAATTAAACTGGTTACAAAATCAAAACTCTCCATTATGATCAAGGAAAAAAATATTTATCTTCAAAATTTATTAAATATTTGAAAACACATGGAATTTAGTATCAACTCACTATAATTTATATACTATGTTAAAATATTGTGGTTGAATGAAAGAAACAAATTCTTCTCAATATAATTAGGTATATATTCTATAAGGCTCAATATTTCCATCCATATTGGAGAAAAATAATCATTTATACTAAATACCTTCAAAATCAACTTTTCATAAAGACTATTCTTTGTCACACCATTGTCATGGACATATACATATAAACCAATAATTACTTATATGATTTAGATAATAGTAAGTAAAGTAAGTCAATTTAGCTAATATCTTCTATAAAAGCTTCCTAGAAGCTTTATAGATACTAATTTGACTTTATAAGTGTCTTTAATTGACTTTTTAGGTTAGAAACATGGTCAATAAGTTGGCCATATACTACACATGTTGGTAGCTTGAAGAACAAGCTAACTATGTGGCCTATATATAGAAAACTTGCTTTATAAGCTAAGGCATGTGTCTTGCAAAGTCAACATATATTAGAGGTCTTATAGAACATCGCCACATAGCTCTTAGTTAAATAGTATATATAAAGGCAAGAACAAAGCCTTCTTCACACTTGTTAACTCCTTTCTTGCTTCTAGTTTAGATTTAAGGGTTTCTAGTTTCCTTGTCATTTGGCAATAGTCATTTTAGTTTCTATTTAATATACATATTACTTTATTTGTATTTTTTCACTTTCCTTTTGATATAGATTTCTTAAATTTATGCATCTTCTTCTAATTCATGTCTTTGATAGATTGACAAGAATACACTTATAATATTAGAGCTTTGTCTTTTCTTGATTAAGAGTGGATTATCCCTTTTTCTTGATAAGACATAAGGATATTAGAAGTTGTAGATTACCTTCTTTTAAACTAATATTATTCTTAGTATCTTCTTTGTTCTCAAGTTCCCTCTTCTACTTGTCTTGAACAATATTAGATATTTATTTTCTAAATATTATCATAGTAGAGCTTCTTGAAATAAAAAGTGCAATGGCACAAATACAAAAGTAATTGAGATAGTTAATGATTGCAATGCATCAACTCAATTTACCACCACAAGGAGCAGTAAGAATAACAGGAAGTGAAGACATAGATATTATTGGAGCTGTTTCAACATCTGCACCCAATCATCTCTCTTTTCCTATCATGGAACATCCTTCTGGTACTAGAGAACCAAGAATTGTCTTGCTTGAAAAGTTTGATGGCACAAGATCTAAGTTTCTAAGATATATCAATCAAGTACAACTTCTAATTGAACTTCAATCCCAAAGCTATCCAACTCTAGGATCACAAGTTAAATTCATTAGTATACTTCTTTTAGATTTAGTATTATCATGATTTTCATCTTTTTTTGAATGACGAGATCCAATATTGGATAATTTGGAGGCTTTTTTAGTAGAGTTTCAATCCATGTATAGAAAACATGATGCAACTCGTATTGCAACCAACAAGATCTGTATTTTACAACAAAGCAACCAATCTGTAATATTATATGCTTTACAATTTTGACAACTTGCAACTGATATTAAGTAGGATGATGTTGCACTGAATAGCCAATTTTTCTATGGATTATAATATGAGGTAAAGAAATTGATGCTCAACTTACCTAATCTTCAAACATTGAGTCAAACAATTGACTTTTTTATAAAGTGTGATAATCGACTTTTTGAATTTTGATCTAAAAGTCAGACAAGTGGGCCTCAACATTACTATAATTCAATGGCAATACCAATGCCTTTTTAATACATACATTCAAAAGTAGAGGATATGTAAATTTATGTAGTATGTTT